TATTTATTTGTACAAGCGATAAGGCCGCCTATTGTGCATCTTTTTTTGCATATATATTTCTCTTCTTTATATATTTCTCGCGTACTATGCAAAATAGTGTTCATTATTATTATTATTATGTATATATGTCGCAGATAAATTATAAAAACCGTCCCGTAATATTGTAAGAAAAGGAGACGAGTGACAAGACTCCGGGCAATTACTATTTCACTAGTAAAATTATAATTTTACTGCTTTTACAATACCTCTGCAATATATACACTCATAGAAACATTCGTATTATGCAATAGTAATCCAATTATATTATTACAATGGTGAAAAATGTTTTTCAGTATAGTGTGCTTTTCTATTCCAATCCCATTGTAATGGAATATCTATATTTGCAATAATCAAGAAATAGATGGCGCGTAAGTTGAATCGGATGATTTGGGATTTGTTGTCTTAACATAAGGAAATAGTAAGACGTTTAAATCTATTTTGTTTACTTTACAATGGCAAATCCGGGCCGGATCACTAGTTATATATATGTATATTGTATATACAATTCATATCTATACATATAATAAAATTTTAACTGAGTTGAATCTGTAGATTAAATATTTTTTGGCAAATCTCATTGAAATAGTCATTATGGTTGATACGGAGGCCGAATCTATAGTTTTTAGAATTTTTGTCTGTCTGTCTGTGAACGCATCACGAGAAAACCACTGGACAGATTTTTATTAACTTTGATATGATGATAGATAGTTATCCGTGTTATAGGATACTTTTTACTGCGGGAAAATATCTCATGTCTGAGAAATCTATACTAAACGTTAAAACGTAACTAGGGACAAACCCGAGCGGAGCGCGGGTGAATCGCTAGTATAACATAAAAGTTTGGGCATTGATACAAACATTTGGTAACTTTATTACATTTCTAACGCTTTCAGTCCTTCATAAAAAAACTATGGATGAACTTGAAAAATATTATTTTTTTCTACAAATTAAAGATAAATATGTCCATCTGAACCATTTTAAGCGTAAAGAATTCCGTTTCATCAAGAGCTAAATCCTTTGATATTCCGATTCGTACGATCTATCGTTCTATCTTAATTGAAATCGTAAAGCTATACACCTTTTTACGTTTTCCCATTTTACATTTTCTTGGGCATTTTTATCAGTTGAACAAATTATGTATATAGGAAAATTGATCTAATCCTACAAAATGAGAGAATTTTATTTAATCAAACAGAGTTGGTGACTGACAACTTAATACGCGGTACGTTTTGGTTTCTTTGTAATGTACTATAGAGGCGTTGGTTCTTATAAGTTTGTAATACTGTAGTCTCGACATTACATATTATAATAAGCTGATAAGTATAACATTTAATGTATATGATCATATATTCTTAAGAAATCTCCAGAGGTAATCTCTTCCAGCTAATCTATTCACGTAATAGTGTTATATAGAACACTAGCATTGCCCGCGGCTCCGCCCGCGTTCAGATGACCAAAAACCTAATTCTTAGGTTTTACATATTAACATTGCAGTTTTTGTATTTTTTCTCAGAAATGAGATATTTTTCCGCCATAAAAAGTATCCTATATGTTGACCCAGATAACCAGCTATCACCATACTAAATTTCATCAAAATCCCTCCAGTGGTTTTTCTGTGATGCGGTAACAGACAGACAGACAGATAGACAGACAGCCAAAAATTCTAAAAACTATAGATTCGGCCTCTTTATCGATAATAATGTCTATTTCAATAAGATTTTCCAAAAAATATTTAATGTACAGATTCGGTTTAGTTAGAATTTTATTATATGTATAGATTTGGTATACTGTATACCAAAATTGTAATTTGGCCTAAATTACATTTTTTCTATTGACCGTGATATGATTTAGATAGATATTTTACACTAATTAAGTAATAAATCTTAAAATGGTCTAACTTTATGTTAATCAAAAAAAAATCTTAATACTCTCTAGATAGCTTTGCGCACAAGTCGCGATTTATTTTAATCTTTTTCATCAACTTACGTTGCAAAATTGGTCTCGAAGAAAAGTTCTATTACTTTACTGGAATACGCCCTTGACTATCTTAAAGGTTCATTCTAAATATAGATAAAATTTCAAATCGTGTGAATAATTATTGAGATCACCTCCAGCATCAAAACTTACAAAACTTTATGTAAGTATCTCCTTGAAAGAAATATGATATAATGAAAATGGAAAACATTACCCAAAATCACTTTCCCTACAACGTATTTCAGACGAATTTATTTAGCATCATCAAACAGAGATTTGGAACTTTAAAATCCTTTGGAGCTAAGAGAAATGAATAATCCTTTCCAATTTGACTCCGTTCTTTGTCCGAACAATGGACTCCGTTGAGAATAACGACGGTTTAAAACAAAACAGGCCATTTGACTGCCGACCGGATTGCTTCGATATTCACAGCTTCACGTTGAATTAATAACTTGATTGACAAATAATCTTTGATGACAGATGCTATTGTTCATAGATAATTGTTTGATTATTCATCAGTTTCACAAAGTAGTAAATCGTGCTCGAACGGCTCTCCCTGAAGACATAAATTGAAAAGCTAAATTCAAATTTAGTAAGTACTGGAATAAACCTTAAGATAGCTTTATAGGTAGTAAACCATTGATTAATTATCTTTGAAGAAAAATTGATACTTATATGGAAATTTTATTATTTTTTAAGCAGTCAACATTTTTTTGGGAATGATTTTGAATAATGAATGATGAAGATGATGAATTTGATTGAATGAGAATGTTTAGAAAAATGTTTTCGCAAAAATATTGATTTATTATCAGAAACATGCCAGCTATATATAAGGTATGTATAAACTAAAAATACAGCGAATCTAAAATCACTTTAGAAATAATTATTCTATCTGTAAGACAGACATTTATAATTAAAGTGTACAGTGGACCACTATTCTTGAGGTATATAAGCTACTAGTTTAGTTTCCCTCTTCGCTCGCATGGTAAGCATGGTTGGGTATTAAAGGAAGCCTATGTCCACCCCAGGATACGATCTATATTGTTGCCAAATTTTATCAAAATATTTTCAGTAATTTAAGCGTAACAGACAGAAATACTTTCATTTTTATAACATCAGTATGGTTTTATTAAAATTATTCCATGAAAATAGGTCCACAGTTGGTGAAAATATTATAACGTAATTCGTATATTTGTTCAATTCTAAAGTTGTTTACGGACCTATTGGAGCATGATAAAAATATGGTGACTTTATATCAGATACTGTGAAACTTACAGTCCAATTTAATTTTTTATTGTCTTATATCTTATACTTTTACTTATTTATTTATTGTAAATTACTATCTAACATCAATTACAAGCATTCGAAACGTCGAGAACCAAAAATCAAAATAAATCAGCGAAGAATCAGCATCAAGAAAAATCTAAGAAAGTATTAGGCAATAGATACAAAAACATACATATAATAATAAAATTATATTGTAATAGGAAAATGTTTGCTAGAAAATCGAGGATTGAATTTTAATTTGAAATGTTCGATGGTATCCTAAGAATACCAAAGATAAGGTAAAACATTCGCTCTTTTTATAGATTGAATGGGGACGATTTGAAAAAATTGGATTTTTGGGAAACTCTTATCTTGTAACTTTCAATGTTTAGTAAATATAATAAATTACGTGACTTATATATGTAACGATTTTCTTATTTTTTTTCATTATAAATCACCGCCAGCATAGTTAACGATATGAGAATATTAAGGACGGTAGAACTATTGGGAATCAAGTTATATATTCATTTTCACGAGATAATAAATATTTGTTATTATTCTAAAGAAAATTAGCTATTTCCATATTAATTTTTACTATATCTAGTATATATATAAAAGAAAGTCGTGTTAGTTACACTATTTATAATTCAAGAACGGCTGAACCGATTTGGCTGAAACTTGGTGGGGAGGTAGCTTAGAACCAGGAGACGGACATAGGATACTTTTTAGCCCGTTCGACTGCGTTCCCGTATACAAGACTCAAGAACGGCTGGACCAATTTTTATGATATTTGAATTTTTGGATTTCTCTCATTCCGGAATAGGTTAATACCTAAGTATTAAAACGTCAGAAAAATTAACGAAAAAAATATATTTATATGGCTAATAACACTGGCTAATAACTATTTATATCTATTTAAAACGTACCTAGCGACGAACCCGAGCGAAGCGAGGGTGAGCCGCTAGTTATTAAGATAAAAATAAAATACATAATACATGGTTAGGTTTACGCGAATATTTGACATTTTAAGTTAAATTATTTCTTCGGATTTCCTAGCGGTTTATGATTTTTGGTCCCTGAGGACATTTCGAATGCTTCATAGCAAACATGGTCACGGAAATACCTGACAAAAATGGAAAATGTAGTTTTATTTAAAGTAAATTGCAACTAATAAGGGTAACATAAATATATTATAAAAAATGTTCAATATATATCATATACCTATACGTCATTTTATATATAAGTACTTTTTAAATTCCTGCTGCCGGGCACGGGCCTCCTTTCTATACGAGGGGGATCAGGTCATAGTCCACCACGCTGGCCAAGTGCGGGTTGGCGGACTTCACATGTCTTTCGAAAACTTGCTAGGTTCTCTCAGACATGCAGGTTTTTTTCACGATGTTTTTCCTTCGCCGTAAGGCAAGTGGTAATCATGTTAGAAATGATTCGCACATGAAAATATCACAGGTGCGAAACCCGGGATTTGAACCCGCTTCACTCGGTTTACCAAGCGATCGCGTTACCACTGGGCTACCACTGTCTTTTTACTATATTAATATTATTTACTTTAACTGCCTCCGTGGTGTAGTGGCTAGCATGTACGGCTGCACACCCGGAGGTCCTGGGTTCGAGCCCCGAGTCAGGCCAAGTTTAGTTATTGAGTCTTTCTGTATAAGTAAGCCTCAGTAACAGCCCGGAGTTGGGGAGATGGCGGTGTTTCACCCCCGTGCCTCGGAGAGCACGCAAAGCCGTCGGTTCTGCGCCTTAACTCTCACTGGTCGTGTCGAGCAGTCGTCCCACCGGAATATGAGAGTGACAGGAATAGAGAGTGACAGGAATAGAGAGTGCACTCGTGTCTGCGCGTACACTTGTGCACTATAATATCTCCTGCGCAGTTGGCTAGTCTCAATGAGATTGGCCGCCGTGGCCGGAATCGGTCGGGAGAACATCATCATTATTTACTTTAAAAATCTGTAAAATTCAAATATTTCTTCATAGTAACTTGACTCGAATATTGACGTGAAATTCCGAACAAAGAACGCAAAGAACGTCGAATTTTTGAGGGCCCAGCTTTGGACATTGATTAATGAGGTAGGTCTGGATAAGCTTTAAAAGTAAAGCCGCCTGTCAGATATTACGATGTCCTAAATTAGGGAGCTCAGAATCTTATTCTTCTCTCGAGTGCAAATGATTTCTAAATTTGTGGTTGAATATTTTACCATTGCTATTAACATTCCATTTAACACTTCATTATAGATATTTAGACTTCGGTGTTAGTTTTCTTGGGGGAAAATAATAAAGGTCTATTACATATAATTGTAAATGAGTCGAATCTGTACATTAACTATTTTTTTGGGAAATCTTATTGAAATAGTCATTATTATCGATATACAAGCCGAATCTATAGTTTTTAGAATTTTTATCTGTTTGTCTGTCTTTCTGTCTGGAAACGCATCACGAGAAAACCATTGAACAGATTTTGATGAAATTTGGTATAATGATAGCTGGTTATCCGGGTCAACATATAGGATACTTTTTACTGCGGGAAAACATCTTGTCTCTGAGAAATCTATATTAAATGTTAATATAACTATATAAATACCATTTTAAATTTTATAGGAAAATTAGAGAAAAAGTTATTGTAGTTAGTTGTTTTTAAGAAATATTTCTTAATAACAGTAAATAATATCTGTTTCATCACAGTCAGGTCATGTCAGTATTCATTTTTATTCATCTTTTATTTCGTTTACTTATTATAGGTATATATATTTATTGTACACAAAACACCTTTTTAAGTATCATTTCTTGCTATTGAAATATATCTGTATATTGAAACTCTTGTAAAGTATTTAGCTTTATTCACGTTTAAAAATCAAGTCAAGGTTAACTGAAGTTAGTAAAACTTTCAGTGAATACGGAACTGCTGTAAAAATCTTCACATAATATTTATTAGATGCTTTAAAGTAGCTATGAGCTAGAGTCACATATTTTGTCTTCAGGCCATAGCCTTTCTGTTCACCAAATTTCATCAAAATCCATCCAGCCGTTTCTACGTCAAGGAACAATAAGCTTACATACATACAAAATACATACTAACTTTTGCATTTATAACTAGACTACAAATCAGATTGTAGGTATAGGAAATATCTGTCGTCCTGACGATGCTAAATATAATACTGTTATGCTAAAACAATAATTTTGTTAACGTTAAGTTTCTAAATCAACTCAAGCTATTCCTAACTAAGCCGAAATTCTATTAGCTTAGTTTTTAACTTAATTATGTTTTGGATATATATATATATATATATATATATATATATATATATATACAATTGATCATCCATACTAATATTATAAATGTGAAAATAGCATTATGTCTGTCTGTTACATTTTCATGCTTAAACAGCTGAACAGATTTCGATGTTTGATAAAGAAAGACTACATAATTGTATAATGTCCGCCAGGTTACCATGCGAGCGGCACCCCGGTCAAGAACTAATAATATTATTAAAAAAACAACAAGTAACGCCTGAACAATGCAATATTTTTTTTCTCTGTGTCTTGTAAGTTTTTTTTTTCATTTTTTTTCTTCCTTTTTTGTTTATATTAACTTACTACCTTATTATAACGTGAAATTTCATGCATTGAATATGTACGCCTGATATGGGAAGGTACTACCTCCTTAAACACAGTTTTCTAGTTCAGGAGTTAGGGCTGTGTGCATTTGTTACCATTGTGTTATTTGAATAAAGACTGTTTTTTGAATAGGATCATATTTAGTTTTAAATAAAACATATTTAAAGAAATTAAGTTAAAATTTATCAGTATATTCTTAAAGGAACCCTTTCATTTCCCTACTTAGAGGAACAAAAGGCTAAGCAACAATGGATGAACAGCTATTGTACGGACATCTTGTTCTGAAACCTCAACTGGGCCATTACCGACAAAATTTCGTCTTAAATAAACTGCTGGCTTCTTTATTAAACTCGATTTCTATTTTTATGGCAATGAGATTTAAGATTTTAATGGATAATACTTTCTAGATTGCAGAATATAGTAGCTTTATCACAAATATTTTGATGATCGTATTTATTAAGAAACATAATTTTGTACCTACCTGAATTATATATATACTAGCGGCTCACCCTCGCTTCGCTTGAGTTCACCTCTAAAAGGTAATAGGAGTCATGACACACTACGGTAGTTTCAATAAATAATTTATTTAATCGACTTGCGGACCCGACAGACGTTGTCTACACGTCTTTAATTTAAAAATTTCAAACTTTTTTTAATAATTTTTTTGATGAAAATTATTATTCAAATTATGAATCTAAACCATTCCCAGATCCCCTTGAACACACACAAAAAATTTCATCAAAATCGGTTCAGTCGTTTGAGAGAAGTTCAGTGACATACACACTCACAGAAGAATTATATATATAAAGATATATTTTTTCACGGAGCTAATTCTAATAAAAAATCGTTTAGTATTATGGAAAATAACTGATTGAAAGCATAAATAAAAACAAAACAAAACAAAAAAAACTAAGTTAGAGACATAAGGCATTGGTAGCCCAGTGGTAATGCGCTCGCTTGATACCGAGTGAAGCGGGTTCAAATACCGGGTCTTGCACCTTTGATATTTTCATGTGCTAATCGTTTCTAACATGATTACCGTTTGCCTGGTGGTAAAAGAAAACATCGTGAGGAAACCTGTATGTCTGAGAGAACCTAGCAAGTTTTCGAAAGACATGTAAAGTCCACTAACCCGCACTTGGCCAGCTTAGTGGATATAGCCCCTCGTATTGAAGGGCGGCCCGTACCCAGCAGTGAGACGTTAAAAAGGGCTGAATACAAGTTAGAGATAGAAAAAAATAGATTATAAAGTATCAAACAATAATGTTATTTATAAATCCTATTCCAGTAGCTAGTAGCTACCTATATTTTAAAGCACAATCAATTTACTTTTATTTGTTAAGAAGATCCGTCGCTTATCTCCAGATCTTATTATCATAAAAAATATGCAAATCAGCCCAAAGATCTCGGGGTAGTCGGTGTACAATGGTCCTACTTGAACATAATATTACCTTAACTTTTTATAATACATTATTTTGTAAAGTTGTTAATATTTTCATTTTGTTCCCTAAAACATAAAATCATAGTATATACGACTACCAATAGAAAAAAAATTAGAAAAAAATGGATTTAAATAAAAAAATATGTTCGTGATTACGTGAACAATGCTTTCATCCCTTAATCCGACGGGTCAAGTTTAGTTATTGAGTCTTTCTGTATAGTAAGCCTCAGTAACAGCCCGGAGTTGAGAAGTCGGCGGTGTTTCACCCCCGTGCCTTAGAGAGCACGTAAAACCGTCGATCCTGTGTTTTAACTCTCACCGGTCGTGTCGAGCAGTCGTCCCACTAGAGTATGAGAGTAACAGGAATAGAGAGTGCACGTTGTGTCTGCGCGTACACTTGTGCACTATAATATCTCCTGCGCAGTTGGCTAGTCTCAATGAGATTGGCCGCCGTGGCCGGAATCGGTCAGAAGGACATTATTATTTCATTACAAAATTTTCTCTTCGAAAGGACAGTTGATTGGAAATAAAAAATATGAATATATACCCTCAAAGAAAATTCTGACCACTGTGTCACGTAGATAAACTTTCCCCTACAGGTTACCTATATTATGGGCATCACTTACACATTTGCATGTCTGGCGTCACGCCAGGATGTTGTATCGTGCCTCGTTCACATTTTCAATTCCCAACAAGACGAGTTGGTTTGCGGTTGACGCAAATATTAGCATTTCTATAGTGTTTGATTTATTGTTTTTCTAGCTATATTCTACAGACTCACGTGTGAGAGCTGACTGTGCTGAATCTTTGAATTTTAGGAAATCTTTTTGGGATTCTATTTGAATTGTGTCCCAAATATCAAAAGTAAAAAGTCAAAAGTTGAAATTAAAGTAAAAGTTAAGATTGAAAGAAAATGTTATATTTAAAATCTCAAGCAGAATTCACATCTTCAGAGATAGTGATTAAAAATTTAGAGTACTTTTTTTATTTTTTGATATAAAAAGTAAATATACTTACCAACAAATAATTCTGGAAGGTTATGAAATTTAATTTGTGATTTTAATGTTGAAATTGTTTCTCTTTCATTCTCTTTTTCGCATATCTTAAATAAAAAATATAATTAATATCTAAAACAGTCCTAAAAGTTTTACAATGGTATATTTATAATATAATAATGTATTAGTAGCATTTGCAGTTCAACAGTTTAGCTTAAATATGAAGCTAAAATTTTAAAGATGTAAGATGAAAATTTCTAGGATTTGAAGTGATTGTAAGATTTGGTACCATTTACTTTCGTTTGATAATGTGACGGGATAATTTCAATAATGATAATAGGTAAATATATAGAATTGTTTGATAGACCACCATAACTCATATATTAAAAACGACGGAGATATCTTTAGAAGCAGGAATAGGAAGCTCAAGGCTGTTTAATGTTTAATAAATAAATTAAGAATAAATCCATCTATAATCTGTTCATCTATTCTTAAAAGCAGATGAGAAAATAAAAGATGAAAAAAAACAATATTTCAAAAACTACTTTATATTTTTAGTTTCTATTACATATGAAATATTCTGCAAATAATATTTCATAATTTAAGTAATATTTAATAAAAGCACTAATAGCCCAGTGATAGCGTGGTTCCTTGGGAAATCGAGTGAAGCGGGTTCAAGTCCAGAGTCCCGAGCCTCTGATATTTTCATGTGCGAATCATTTCCAACATCATTACCACTTGTTTAGCGGTGAAAGAAAACATAGTGAAAAAACTTGCATGTTTGAATGAACCTAGCAAGCTTTCGAAAAACATGCGCAGTCCGCCAACCCGCACTTGGCTAGCGTGGTGGATTATGGCCTCATCCTCCCCTTATTGAGAGGGA